CATCTCTAAAAATTTTATCTAGCTCAAGCTTGAATATTAGTTGGGGAATTTCCTATTTTGTTTTCTCGGCTGAACCGACGCCCTGCATGGGAGTACCGTCGGGACTTGCTTTCGAGAGTGTGATATCCTTCATGGAGCTTTTTTCTACTGAGTATGCCACTACCTCCGGAGCTTTTTCAAATTCGACTTTGGGAACATATCAAGGATGTGTGAGTAATGTTAACCAATTTTTGCATTCGATCAATCGTCTTTGGCAATATTGTCAGCTTTCTTGGGATCAAGTTCCCCGAGTGTTGGCTAGCTGCTAAAGCGCGTAAACCCCTCAAATTCCTTGATTATTTGACCTGTGGTAGCGCATTTAATTAGCCAATCCATGTTGTTTTGACATTTTAGAGTACAAAATTATAAAAAATAGAACGAAACCACCTCTTTTTATTAGTCTTTCACAGGGAGATACATAAAAATTTCTAAGGAAAGAAATGTTGTCTCTGCTCCTTGTTCGAGGGACTCCTCGGCTGGTGTAGGTCTTTAACTCGTACACTTCGAGGCCGACCCTTTGGTCGATGATAAATGGTCTGGTCCAAGTCTCGTCTAGCTTGCCGACCGACTGTCCAGATGCAGCCGGATCGGCCTTCTTCAGCGCGAATTCTTTGAATGCAAAAGTTTTCTCTCAGACATGCATGTTGTACTGATGTGCATGTGGTGCATCTCTTTACTTCCTTCTATCGAAGAGCTAAGCTGGTTCATTTCTCCTTCACCATGTCTAATGAGAGCATTACTTCCTCATCATTCATTTCCTGCCACTCTGTCGGGTCTTCATCAAAAGTTGAAGCGGTTACCACTCGTTAACTGCGGTGATTTTACTCAATTTGCAGCATAGCTTCCATCACACACGATAGAATAAATAGTGTAGCAGTTGACAATGTTGTTTGGGACACACAGAGGACGAACGATAGGACATCGACCCATTTCCCCTTTGATCCTTTAACCTTCTTTCTCAGCAAGTTCAAAATTATCTTATTGGCTTCTGCTTGACTGTTGGTCTGAGGTGACCAACACTAATTTCAAATTGATACCTTGACTCAAGCAAAAGCCATTCACTCCCTTGTCTGCTAACTGAGTTATGTTGTCCCTGACTAGCATGAATGTCATTCCATACCTATAGATGAGGTCTGTCCTGATCAAATTTTGAATAACCTTTGTTGTTAATTATGCAAGTGGCTTTGCCTCAAACCATTTAGTGAAATACTCTACTGCGAGCATGAAGAATTTGTGCTAGCCCTTCAACGGTGGGAACGGCCCAAGGATATTGATTCCTCAGATGACAAAAGGCTAAGGGTTGATGGTTGGTTGCAACTTTGGGGTTAGTTGGTGTTGTAATGGTGCGTACTTCTGACACTGCTTGCACCTCTTTGAGAATTCTTTCATATATTTTAGGAGTGCGGCCAGTAGTCTTGCCATTGAATCTTGTGTGCCCGGGTCTTTACTAAAGAGTAACTCTCGCACTCTCCTGAATGTATCTCCCGCATGAGATCTTCCGTTTCATTTTTCCCTATGCACCTCATATAAAAATAAGTAACTGACTTCCAAAAATATTTTCCTTCAATTAGTAGGTATTGCGCGGCCTTGTATTTGAAACTCTTTGGATCAGCGATCTCCTCTGCTATTTTGTTGTTTGCAGGAATGGATGTATGAATTCATCCAACTTCCCACTCCATTGGTCTCCACCTTTATCACATTGGATTCTTCAATGGCTAGTTATAATAATTTCTGAGGGTTTCTCTCCCTCAAGTGGAAGCACTTGGAAAGGAGATCAAGCACCTGGTTGCCCTCCCTGGTGATGCGTTCTATTATGAAATCAGTGAACTTTAAGGTATCGTCCTTGGCTTTCTTGAGATACTTAGCATTATCTCACCTTTGGCTTCAAATTTCCTATTTACCTGATTCACCACCAGGTGGGACTCTAATTTTATGTACAGGTGTCGACACTCATGTCATAAGCTAAGAGCAACTCGACAATCAAAGCTTCGTACTTCACATGGTTATTAGTGACCTCAAACTCAAAGGCCACCAAATTGTAAACATGTTCCCCAGTTGGGCTTCTCATAACCAGAGAAATTCCTACTCCCATCTGATTGGAGACTCCATCAATGTACAAGGTTCATGCCATTCGATCGACATTAGTTTGTTTGCTCGGCAAGCACAGTTCTGAGAACTCAGCTAGGAAATCTACCATTGCTTTCACTTTGATAGCTGTTTGGGAGATGTAGGGAATGTCGATTTCACTCAGCTCCACCGCCCACTTAAGGAGTTGACCAGAGTGCTCCAATCAAGAGAATAGATTTCAACGGATGGTCGGTTACTTCTTGGTTGGGATGCATTTGAGAGTATGGTCGGAGCATGCAAGCAAATATAACCAAAGAAATAGTTAGCTTTTCCATAATCGGGTACCTGATTTTGGCATCCCAAAGGGCCCTACTGGTGTTGTAGACGAAAAATTACTTCCCTAACTCCTCACAAACTAGCACAGAACTAATTGCCTCAAGTCCAACTCCCAAATACAAAGAGAGCTCTTTGTTTGGCTTCAGGCATTACAATAGTAGTAGTGATACCTAGGAATCCTTTAACTTCGCAATAGCCTCCTAACAGTTGGTCGACCACTTGAATTACTTGACCTTTCTGAGCATTTTGAAGAATGTGGTGCATTTGCGTCCTGCTTTCGAGATGAAACGGCTAAGACCCATTATCTGGCAGGTTAACTTCGAGACTTCTTTGGTGTTTCGGGGAGGAAGCATGTTCAACAATGTCTATATTTTTGCAAGGTTGGCTTTAATTCCCTCTAGGTTCGAGGTAGCCAGAGAATTTATCGGTAGAGACTTCGAATGTAAATTTAAGTGGGTTCAGCCTTATGTTGAATTTGTTAATAATTTCACATATTTCTTTTAGGTCGATTACATGTCGTTCAGCCCACTAGAAAGTCTTTCATGTGCATCAACTGCTTGTCACCCTCTCCACAGGTGAATGCTAACACTATCACTCCAAGGGCGTCTTTTTTTTTTTCTTCCGAGAATCCAAAGAGTGGTATGGTTGATGTTGTCAACAAGTCAGCTGAAAGACTCATCTTATTGAAAACTAGTTTGAACAAAATGTTCAATGAACTATCAGTGTCCACCAAAACACTACCAATCTGGCAGTTATCGATCATGGTCGTGATGACGATGGCGTCGTAATAGGTATTCCCCTTAGATGGTTAGATCAACGTCGGTGAAGATGACTGGTGGATGAGTGCCACGTTTGAAAAAAAATTGCGACCGCACATAGGTTGCCCGTCTGGAGCCTCTTTTAGCCGATGTGTTTGGAAGGTTCTCTGACCCCTCCCAAGATAGCCACAATAAATCCATCAATGTGCATGACATTGGCCCTTATGGGTCCATCCAGGATTTTTTCAACCGGAGCCTTCCCATGTCTCGTCGCTCTGGGCACCACAAATTCTTAAGCTTTCCTACTCTGATCAACTACTCAAACAGGCTTCGGAGGTGTCGGTATTCCTTCGTGTCATGGATATGATCGCGGTGATATGAGCAATACTTTTTAGGGTCTCAGAGAAGTGCTTCGGGCCTTGCAGGGAGTGTCTGCTTGAAGTATTCCTTATTTTGGATGGCCTCTACTAGCTATGTCGTTGATACCCTCAGAGGTGTGGGCCTTGGTGCCTCATATTCATTATCAGGCCGCTAATGATATCAAGATGGTTGTTGGTCAATATACCTATGCTAACTGCCACAATGGTGGTTTCAGTCAGTCCTCTTATTCTCCTGGGGTGGCAAACTTTCTTCAAGGCTAGGACGGATGGGCAGAAGTTAACTATCCCTCGGTCTCCACCCGTTATTTTGTTGGGTTCTCTTTCGTGGACGATGATTAGATGATCTTGTCTTATGGTCGTCAGTGTTGTTAACAAATTCTTCAATGGTAATGTGGATGTTGGCCAATTCCAATAATTCAGGCAGAGTTATTGGTTGATACATGCCTAGAGTGTAGTATGATCACTCTCCCCTTAATCCCTAGGATAAGGCTGATGCGCTATTCTAGGTTCTAGGTCCCTCACTTCCAGCATCTCCTCCTAGAACTAAGTGATATATGCATGCAGGAACCCATGTTGCCCTGGTTGATCTTCCATAGAGCTTGTGAACTTTTCCACGACTTCTATGCGCAAGAAAACTGAGCCACAAACAGCCTCTTGAAATCAACAAAGGATGTGATTACCTTAGTGGGTAACTCGTTGAACCAACTGAAGGTAGATTCCCTCAACATAGCAAAGAAAAGACGGCTCTCCACCACATTGTAACATTCATCAAGTAGACTGACGATTCAAACGACACAATGTGATGAGTCGAGTCAAACCGACCTAATAGGATTCGAGTGAAGGGGGCCTTAAACTTCCCTGGAGAACGCGTTCTCTGGCCGAGATTTCATGCACTACCCACCACCCTCCCGCTTAAGCCGCTCGGCTGCCTTGGGGTTCAGTTTCTTCGTCCTAGTGATTTTAGCCCCGTGAAACTTGCTCCCTTCCTCCAAGCACCGATTGGGTCAACTCCTTCATTTGACCCAACATTCGACCCCTCAATTCTTGAGTTGTTGCTAAATAAACACCCTAGTGCAGTCCAAGTTTCATGTGTTTCTCATATGATTTTTTTCTCTGTGTTGTGTTTCTCTTCTTATTTTTTTGTATGCTCCACACTCACCACATTCTCTAGAATATTGAATCTGAGATTGTCTTATGACGCACACATAAGAAATAAAGCATTGAAGAGAGAGAGAGAGAGAAAAAGAGACTGGATTAGTCTGAATAATTCATTAGTCATTTACCGTAGAAATTATCCCCTATTTATAGAAGGGTATGAAATAAACAATTACATGCTTGCCCTTGCTTGCATAAGGACGTCACAGGGTGTTTTGATCATAAATAAATACTTGAATAAACAAATAATGGGATAAATAAAAATAAGAAAGATCTCTGCTTGGCTGACACATCCTTTAGTCGTCTAAGACTGAGGGACTTCGGTTGATCCATCAAAGGGCCTTCAGTCGCCTAGGTTATGACCCTTCAGCCAATCCATGTACCTTCGATCAGACAATCCATGGACATTCGATCAATTGGCTTCCCTAGTCCGACTTGTAGTCACGGCTCCCTGTGAACAGAACTCTTGTTGTCAAGTTGAAACTAGGATGTCGGGCAAATGACACTTTATTGTAATCCGACAGGTAGTTTCACCTCTTCAACAAAAAAACCATTTGGGAGGTTTGTGTTGGTGTCACATTGGGTGCTAGTGACCTTGAAGGCCCGCAAGATTGTTTCTTAGTTGATTTGTAGTGTCATTTTGAGGAGCTAGGCAGGTCTCCTTTCTTCGTTGGGTATGCCTTGGCCCTTTTTCCTGAGGGCCTATCGTTTAGCAGGTTTTGTACACTTTTTAAGGAGGCCTTGGTTAGGCATCAAATTACATAGGTTCATGTTGATGTGATCTTTGAATTCTAGTGGGTCATTTTTTTACCACGCTTGTCTTCTAAGCCATAAGATTTCTTCAAAATTCATGATAACATATTATGGGTGTACACATGCAATCATAAATAGATCTATAATTGTGCATTAGCACGAACAGAAATATTAAAAGTATAATTTCATAACTCGATTGATCGAAAATACCTCAATCTAAACAAGATTCGAGTCAAACTCAACATCTTTGTAGACTAAAATACTTCGATCAGGAGCGCAGATTCTGACCATAGAAAAGAAAATCCAAGCCAAAATCTCATCTTCCTTTTTTTACATTACTATCTTCAGGAACAAATCCACAAACACCTTGAGTGCAGCCCCGCTCCAATTCACCAAACTTCCAATTTCCTCCCAACCTCACCACCTCCAGGCAAAACATTCGTTCCCCTAGCCCAAAGCTCATCCGTCTCCATCATCTTTTCATCACCAATCCCCCATTCTTCCTGCAACTCCTCCCAATCTTCTCCGATTCCAGACTCAAACAAATCTTCCAAACCTTCATCGTCATCATCTTCCTCTTTCTCTGCTTCCACTTCATCATCCTCCTCCTCAAACACTCCTCTCCTCCTCTCTCTCCTCATCCTTTTCCCCTCCATCACTAATTCTGCGAGCCTCTCCTTCACCGATCTGAGTTCGTCCTCCACCACCAATCTCCCCTTCTCATCATAAGCCTCCACAAGAAAAACCGAGTCCCGAGTCCCTTTCACGCTAACATAGAACATCTCCGGGTGCCTCACTAGCATCGCACGAAGCCGATTCGGCAGCCGCAAATCCTTCCTGAAGTGCGTGAGGTGATCCACCAGTGTCCTTCTCTCCGTCGTCATCCCCACCACCTCCCTCACAACCGCACACGCCATCTTCTCCTCCAACTCGGTCGAATCTCCCTTTAAGCTCTCGTAAGGGTTCACCTCCGGTAGATCCTGGAACCGAATCAAGTACTCACGATGGCGTCGCCGGAGGTTAAGCCCTCGCCGCAATCGCAACTGCGGAAACCTAGGAACTCGTTCGATGATCGGGCGGCGAAGGGGGTCGACATCGCTGGTGAGATCGAGTCGTGGGAGTGCCACAGCGAGGGATTGGTCCCATGATACCAGCTCAAGTGCACGACCATAGGACGTGTCGATAGTGCGGAAGCGGGAGGGATGAGCGTTGCAGAGACGGGAACGGAAATCGGGGGCTAGTCCGAGGTCAGGAGCAAGATGTGCGAGCTTGGAGAGAAGAAGACGGCGATGAGGGGCGAGCATGAGAAGGCGGTGGAGCTTGTCCGCCAGCGCGTCGGTTAGGCAGGCACGAAGGCGGAACTCCTCTGCCGCCAGAGAGGCGGCGGCGGGGGTGAGGGTGACGGCAAGTAGGGAAGAAGAGGGGGAGTTGTGGGAGGGAACATGGAAGAGAGTGAAGAGGGAAGGGTAACGCTGGATCATGGAGAGGAGGGAACGGCTGGGGGGAGGGTTTAGGTAAGCTCTGCAGCGGGAGAGCACTCGAAGGGGAAGGAATTGCTTCGGTTTGGAAAGGAGCAAAGTCTTCAATTTGCGGGCGAATCGGAGATGGCTGTGCTTCGCCGCACGGCGGTCAAGTGCAGGGCACCGGACAATTTTCATCGGCGGCAGCGAGGAGGATGACGAGGAGGCGGTAATGGTGAGGAAAGTGGGAGATTTCGAGGAGGATTTGGTTGTTTTAGAGAAGCGAGAGCTTGATCTTTTTTTAGGAGAGGAGAAGAAGGAGGAGGAGGAAGATGAGATGGCCAGCGCCATAGAGATTGGAAGTGCGCTTTTGAGAAATGTACCATGAGAGGTTGTTGCTCTAGGGTTTATTGTTCTTGTTTGTGAATTTAAGAATGACTTTGATGTGATTTATATTGTATGTAATGATCCGGACATCTAGAAGTATGAGCAAAGTAGCTTGCCTATTTGTTGCATCTTTCATTGCACCTCTGATTTTTCCTTATTTTTTCTTGCTTGCTATGGTGAAGTCATTTGCTACAAAAATTATGAACACTTTGTGTGTCAAGCATAAACACCTTCAAATATATGATGTTGAGCATGGAATTATTTGCCCAATTGAGAAGAGAAAAAAAATTAGTTAAAAGTTGTATAAGTAGTGAAGTCGGAGCTATTGAAGAGAACCCTAATCTACCACCACCTTTTACTATATGTCTTGATTAGCCTCCACCAAGTGCTCCCATGGTGAGTTATGATGTTGGCCTACTGGCCTTGGATGAAGTAACCTAATTTTATTGAAAACATAAAATAAAAAAAAAAAGATTCCGCCCTTATTTTCTCTCTAATAGATAATAACAATTGATTTTAGGGATTATTCAATTAGCAGAAGCAGACAACATTGAGTTTTTATAAAAAGTAAGAACTTTTAGTTTCATTCATTTGGAACAATTACCTCAGCATGTCCTATGATGGACACTTAAGAGTGAAAATATGATACATTTGAGTCCATGGTTGATTGAGTTAAAGGTCATAAATCTTATAGATTTAATATTTGATTTTTTTTTCTTTTGTGAAGTATATATAGTAATGACTTATCAAGGTACCCCTCGATGAATTTTGAAGTAGGGATATTATGGTTTCTGACATTTCCAATGATATATCAAGGAGATGTCATCAAGGTACCTCCTTTACGATATATCTTGATTAGCCACCATCATGTGCTCCCATGGTGAGTTATGATGTTGGCCTGCTGGCCTTTGATCAAGTAACCTAATTTTATTAAAATGATTTCAAGAAGATTATGTGATTGAATTTATTAAAATTCATTCAACCTTGTTTAAGTTTGTTAAAATTTATTTAATTTTGTTAAGACCCGTTAAAACTTATTTAAGATTGTTAAAGTTTGTTAAAATTTATTTAAATTTGTTAAAGTTTTTTAAATTTTATTTAAGTTTGTTAATTTTTTTGTTAATATTAAGTTAAAGTTGATTTAAGTTAAAGCTAATTGAATTTTATTAGATTTAACAAAAGTTTTAATAATTTGATTGAAGTTTATTATATTTTATAAAGTTGTTTGAAATTTGATTAAAGTTATTTAAATTTTGGCTAAATTTTAAAATTTTAATTTGAATTTTAAGATCTTGAAATTCTAGAGTTTTGGCCTCATAATTTGAGAATGAAAATGGGAATTTGATATCAGATTTAGGGTTTGAGTTTGAGTTAGAGACACCAGTGTTGACCTCATTTTTTAATCAATCATTTTTCTATTTTATTTTAACTTAATTTTACTTGATTTGAATCTTGAGTGAACCCTAATTTAATAAAATTGAATTTTAACTTAACAAAAATAAAAGACCAAACTATAATTTTAATCAAACCCTAAAGTTGATTAAATTCATTCTTAATCAACAACACACTGGGATTATCATTTTCTCTCTCAAGATCATTATAGGACTCAAAACTTTGGGTTTAATTAGGGAAACTGCAATTTTTTTAAAAATTTATTACGCAGTGGCTCTGTCAGGAAGCTGTTGTGTAGAAACTATTGTGGGGAAGTTTTGTATCTGTTTTTTTATATAGTTGTGAAGCAGTTGTTTATGATAAAAAGACTTTTTCCTATGTATTGTTGTGTTAATTATAATAGAACCAATCAGGTTGAATAACCCATATATGAAAATAGAAATTACATTCAAAATCCCCAAAAACTCATAAGTTCAAATATTACACCTAGAACTGACATCTCACTTAAATGTGAGTAACACAACAATTAAAATAAAAAATAAAACTATTAAAATAATAATTTAGCATTATCAAAAATTAAATTTGAAATGAAGATGATCAATTTTACAAGATTACTTTTTCTTTAAAGAAACCCTCCACGTCTGATCACTATCTGAGGTAGAATCGTTTAATTAATCCGCCAATCAGAAGAAGTCACAGTCCTCTGCTGATCTATTCTTTAGAAGATTCTAGAATTTTCTTTATGCTCCTTTCGTGATGTATACATCCCACTACAATCCACAATTTCAATACAATACTCAGAGGCACTGAAACTCCTCAAGCTCATATTTGCTTAAATTTTAAAACCACAAATCATAAACAATTACATGAAACATTAAATAATAAGAATAATAGAAATATACAATTAAAGATTCATAAAGCTGTGAGGTATGAGAGAAAAGTATAAAATGACTAATAATTTGTCCTTACATGAAGATGGAAGACCTTAAAGAAATGGGAACTTGGTTGCATTTAAACCATGTAATATCAAGCTCGTACGTGTCACAAAAGCATATCACCACAAATGCCACCCATAAAAAACCAAACATTCATATGCTGAAAAAGAAGATCTTGGTTGCTTTAATGAGGATATACATATCAAGATATATAGCAACATACGAGCCATCTAGAAGAAGCCCTAAGGTCATATATCTCATCATAGCCCTTCATACTAAGAAAAAAACATGCAAGAAAAAACTTATTTTAAACCCACGGTTATCTAGGAGGCCATTCATGTGGAGAAAAAATATAGGTTGAATGAATGAAAAAATAAATTTCAGCAAATTGAGATTTCACGTGAACATAATTGCATAAAAATGTCATTATAATAAACATTAAGCATTTTCACAACACATTATTCATAAATAAGGAAAAAGTAGCAGACATCTTTTCACCCATTAATTATTACATCTATAATTTGCATTCTCAAGTCTATCATCTCTCCAGCACCTTCTCATTCTGTGTGCAAGACTTAGGTAAAGCATAATTAGCTAGTGATATTGACTACCATAGGCGATATTCATATGCCTCAATGGGTACATGTGGCTGATCATAATTTGTACTACTAAAATCAATACCACTATGTGAAGGATGCCGACAAATATAATTTTAGAGAGCCATTGCAGCTACCATAATCTTCTATTAATTATTAAAAGAATATGTGGGCATATCTTGTAGAATAACCTATTTTTCCAAACCCCAAATGACCTCTCAATAGCACCATGTGAAGATGAGTGTCTCTTGGCAATCATCTCATTTCTTCCACATACTACTTTGCTGACTCTTTCAAAATTAAGAATGTGATATTTTATATCAAAAAGGGGTTTGAGATGCCCTCTTTATTACAGATATCTGACACTAACCAAATAATTTTTTTTTCAATTAAATGTATAACCATTAATATTGTACTGAAAAAATTATTTATTTTCTTTATATCCAAGCAAATCTGAAGTTAGCTTTGGAAAGTTGTATTTATGAGCATGCATATAAAATTTGAATATACGATTATTATATGTGTTGTCTTCCCTTCTGGTCATTACAAAAGTAAAACACATTAAAATCACATAAACCCATAATAATTTGTGTTGCTCACAAGTCTAATGTATGTAATCTTTTCGCTATTGGACATTAGTGCATCCACATATAATCTATCAATTGCTCCAATGTAATCCTAGGTTATTTATTTGACATATTAGAGTTACTGCATTTAAGTAAATTTTGAAAAAGATAACATAAAAATCTACCTTAAAATATAGCATATAGCATTGATCTTGTGAAATCTCTATAAGAGTGCTATAGAATTTAGGTCTTCAAGGCTAATAACTTTTGAAGATTAACTAATCAGAGCATTCAAACCAACTAAAAAATATCTATAAATTAGTTATGATGAGTGTTGAAATCACTCCATAGGCCATCATTTAGACTCATTTTGTAATAAAATATAGAGGGTTATAGCTAACACCTCTTTTAAAGTCATCCTAAGGAAGCCATGGAACCCATAATTTTGGTGCATTTCTTCCAATATATCAATACATATATTTTGTGTGATAAAGAACATGTTATTAAATTTTATTAAGTGACTTACTAGAAACTCCCCAACCCATTTGTTGGTACTGTAGGCGGTTATCATGCAAGGCGTGTGAGCAATATACGAGTTGTAATACTCATACATTAAGCATAATGCAATTGTAGTTTTTTTCTCATGTATTTCTCTATCAATGTTATTCATTGTTGATGTTCTAAAAGAAGACAAAAAAAATTAATAAGCATTGAATTAACAAGTAATATATTAAAAAAACCTTAACAATGAAAAGCCAAAAACAATGAAACATTGTAGCATTCGTACACTCGTGTCAGCTATACATATAAAAATCCAAAAATACCATAACAATCATGCGTCTCGATTCTCATTAAAATAACGTAAATAGTTAACCCCATGGTTGGGTGTCATCGATAGAAAGAAATCTCTTCTAGTCGGATCTTCTAATAATTTCATTGAAAAAAAAGTAAAATGTCCCTTCTTTATAATTTTTTTGCATTTTCTTCCAATATTCTTAGAATTTATTGAACAAATATTGCATGTGATGTGTTAGGCTCATTAGTACATGAAGGACCTATTTACAAAATCTGGCCTTTTATGAATATTGCACTATTTGTCTTCTTCTTCGCAATTCTAAGACGTTTGGAACTTCATTGAGGTTAGGATTCCACCCTTCATTTGAGTATGCAGTTTTCTCAGTATCTTCATGCTTGGTTATGTTAGTGTGCACTCTCTTTCTTGGTATCCATTCATGATCACCTGTGTCCACAACTCCACCAAATATTAGGTCCAACTTTTTTTAAGCTTAGGTTCAAAGCCACTAAGCTTGAACTTCTTGGAACTTGGTATGACCTAAAAATTGATTGATAGTTGATATGTTGATAACTTCAATAAAAATGAAAAACAATGAATGTTTAATAAGTATTTATCTCAAATCTCTCAGCCCGCTATTCTTCCGAAGCCTTGATGTTTGCTTTATCGTATCTCAACCTAAACCCATTGATCCCCATTTTAACTCTTTTCATATCTTCAATCCTTTTTTAATTGATCTCATTTGTTTTTCATATGTATTACATCATACTATCTTATAAGGATTTTTTTTTTCTTTTTTTTTATAATGTTTTA